AAAAAAAAAAAAAAAAAAAAAAACAAATACACGAATCCAGATAAAAATGATGAGAAAACAATAGTATGGAGTAACCAAATTATGTAAACGTAAATAGAATGCTATTCGTATTGTTGTAATGTCGAAACGGTAGTTTGTGCTTTCTCTAGTGAAAACCGAATGTTTTGAGGTACGAACGGTGTATCGCGTTTGCTGAATATATAACAACGATCAGCTTAATTTTCACCTATTGAATCGAGAATGAAGAATCAACCTCAATCTCCATGGGCCTTTTTCATTCCCGTTTATCCTCTATTCCGCCATTCACACTCCTTACTCCGCCATTTATTTTCATCCCATACCCATTATTCTTTTCCACCTCTAATTTTTTTTTCACTCCACGAGCAAAGATATTTCAATATTTCCCAACGAAAGATAAATCTGCAATCTACCAGCGAAGATGATGAACATTGCGCGAATAGAATGTTTCATTTGTTATATAAATCTTGTTCTTCAGAAGGAAGTTTTTATTCTTTACATTTTACAGAATTCACTAATAAGAACTATTGATCCAGTGTTTATCCTTTATAAATCCCCACTCTTGACTAAGACGTTTACGACCGATAACGACTGTCTATCTTACCTTGAGACGTACAAAGCCCTCAATGCAAAATCTCATTTCCTCTTCGTTGCATTCTCCAACAATACTCTGGCGCCTATGTGTACCTGTTCCCTCCATATGATCCACTTTTCACTAACAAATCCTACAATCCATCCTTCCCCTTGTCAGTGTGGAAAAGTGAGAAATACCCTGAGAAAGCTTTTGATAAAAAGCTTGAAAAAATCACTTAAATCATGGAAACAGCGAATTGCGGCTTCACTCCCACTACTAACCCGGAAAGCTAATGAACATACCAATATCCGAGCTCTTTAATAGGCATGAGAATAATACGGAACCCCGGTTACTAACGCTACTTTCATTTCCGCGTCAAGGAAAAGCCATCTTTCTAGCTGAATGGCCGTTCTTAGACCTCAGGTTGTGCGAATTACGTCCCCCCTCTACCCCTTTTTTCTCTTATATTTAACACCAATTAGTATGCGAGGTGCGAGACGAACTAGTTAACGCTGAAACAATTATTAGACTTTGAATTTAACCGTGATACTCATGGAGTTCATGGGCTGCCCACGTATTTATCATCTTGTTATATATTAATACATTCAATGCAGAATTTATAGAACGAAAATTTATGATTAAACGCATGTTATATAAATACCGGTATTTGATGAGTAATTTTTACTGATTTATTAATATAATTTCATCACATTACAAAATTAACATGATAATAATTACCACACGATTGACACATCAATATACAATACCATCATTCAGCGACGTAAACGATCATCGCACTAGTTGTTCCTCTCATAATCATCAATCATCATGTATCATTTATTCGAATTAACTTTTGAACAAATCAGTGTGTAACGACAGAACCCCCATTCTTCACTCTTGTTACATTTGTACTAATGTCATTCATTTATCAGTCATCGTGTCTTTCATCGCATACATTCATATTTTTCAGCGAATACATAATTGTCCACTTGATTGTCGTATTTTCTTTCTAAAAAGAAATGTCTCTATTTTTTTTTACTCATTCTGTATTCGATTTTATTAATCTTCTACATTCTTTCAATTTGATGCAAACTCTTTGTCTCCATATGCACTAACCTATTTTAGTCTTATCTCTATCTGAATCTTATTTTCCCCCTCTTGGGCTGCATTATTTTCTGATTTTGGTTTTTCTGTCTTTCTGGAAATTTTTCTTACTAAATTCGATGAAAACAATAACTCTCGAGTCATTGATGCAAAAGAGTAGAATCTAATAATGGCATTCGCCTGACAGTGAGGGGAGTGACGGGGGAAACGGAAAAGTGAGTGCAGTACATCGAGGAGAGCTGGCAAAAAACGAACGAAAAATTGACATAAGAAAAGAATTAAAACAAAAAAAAGAAAAGTTTTGTCTTTAAAACAGCGACCGAGTTATGAAGAACTGGTTTAATGTTTTTTAAAAACAGATGGGGTCGCGGCCAGCCAGATGATATTGGTGCTATGCATCTAGGAGACGAGAAATACGACCCAGACTCGGATAAAAAGCCGCGCGCAGGACAAATTCTATGGATCCGTGGTCTAACACGGCTGCAGACTCAGGTAACTATCCTCATGTCACTCTCATAATCATCACTCAAAGTCAACATTCTCAGATCCTCTCACAAAGGTACTTACACTATGAGTTAAATATTGAGTTTAGAGGAAAGAGTAAAAACAAGAATAATAAGGGACCAGAAGCAGGACTAATGTACTATTGAAGAAGGATAAATTACATGTAAATCATTGGAAGCAAGGTCAAATACTGCTCCACCCCATTTGTTTTCTCTAGGTGAATAGGGTGTGCGCGATTGACTACGGTTAAATGATTATAAGATACAATTGCGTACCTGTGTACAACTAGTTGACCACAATTTGCTCTTTCTTTTTATTGTTATTTGCTATTTAATTTTTTGTCTTTTATTTCTGCCAAGTGTTGGAATTGAATTTCGATCATTCAATCTAATAATTATAATGAGCAGTTGATAATTGTGATGGATACCATCAAATTTTCAGCTGATGATTTGCATCACTAATTTTGATGGTATAAGCTCGATAATTCCTCCACTTGAAATCCCATACCATTACCTCGGAGAGATTTATGAAGAACAACTACCGAGTCACGTTTCTAAACTACGTTGTCTAGGTCAGTGGCACGTACCCACGTACGTTTTAATTACCCATTACGAGACTTAGAATCGCTACCCACGATTTTAACCAATTGAAAGAACCCCTCAGCTTTCATTATTTACCTCCAAAATACACAAAAACAAAATTCACTGTATTCCTTACGTTATTTTATCCACTCAATTTCCCGAGAAAAAAATACTCCATAATATAAGGGAGATGATCCTTGCGGCGAGTTCAGGTTTGTCGAAAATCCGCGTGATTAGTTTGCTTCCGATAACCGATAATTGTGTTGTCGATATATAGGTCTATCTACTCCCAAAGCCCTTTCACTGAGAAACAACACGAGACTATTCAAGCCCTTCCTCTCCCCCCCCCCTCCTTCCTCCTGATTGCCATCATTACCTAACGACCCCTCACGAATCCTTTTGCGAAACGATGATGGAAACCCCCAAACCCAAACAATCTCGATTGTACCCAACACTACTGAATCTCGATTATTCTCCAAGACCCTCTCACTCAAAATGTTTAATTTCTTTAATTTCATTTGATTCATTTGTTCTCCAATTTTTCATTTCAAATTGACACAAAACGGCGAGTAGCAATCGACGTATTGGGGAAGATTATCAGCACCTCGTGATGAACAGCTTGATATTATACTGTTCCTTCGTGTAAATATTACGTAGCGCAATAGACTTCGGTTGATAGTGCTTGAACCTGGTTGAACCACCCTGTAGAAGAGTATTAAAGACCCAATATAGAAATGATGTACATAAAATGGAGAATTGCCAGTTCGTATGATATTTCTGACAATTATCAGCAACAAAAAAATGAGCGAATTTTATAAGTATTCCCAGGGAAATAGGCAATCAAGTCTCAATCGCAATGAAAATGGTCCACGCAGTCCTCGGTTCAACAATTATATCAAGAAAAATACTGAAATACTCTTTCAATGTTTATCTTAGCAATCTACGATGCAATCAAAGTTGCATCCTCTTCTCCCAATCGAATATTTCATTCTCACTTTTTGTTCTGTCAGAAAACAAACTATTTGCATAAAATATATTGATTATCTTCATCGCGCACCTTCCTACTTTCCAATTTTCGTCACTTTCTTTTATATTTCCCTGTATGTCTTTGTATTTCTATCTTTTTTATTCTATCTTTATCACTTTTACGCCAGTACCCTTGTCCTTTTCTCTGTTCAATACACACCAACACATGTCCTAGTGCAGAAAAAAAAGGAAGCAGCACACTGCTTTATCTTTGTCTCCAATTCCCAATAATGGAACCGATTTTACGTTTTTCCATTTACTGTGCGTTTGGATAATGATTATTGTATGTCGTAAATATTACAAGGCAGAGAAAGATGAAATTGCTATGGAAATAGCAAATGGAAATGTTCTTCGAAAAAAACCTCACTGCAATATCATGGAATTGTGATGAATATAATAGCGGTAAATGAAATGTGTTGACACATTACATGAATACAAGACTCAACAGGAATTATAACAACTGATGGTTAATGTGAAAAGCGTTTTGTACAATATTGTGATAAGCTCAAGGATATGTACAAAAAATATATCAAGAAAGTGCAATCTCGAGATGATTGCAGGCTCAAACAGGAACTATTAAAACAGTCAACGGCGCGTAATCAAAACTGTCGATCCCGTTGGCGTTTCAATGGCAGCGCAAACTAACAGATAAATGTTATTTTTGGAGTGAGTTCAAGTATACTTATTCTTGCCTCTAAGATATCACTAAGTATCTATTCATAATAATATTTGACGTGATTTCTGCTTTTGCCAGTGGTGTTGAAGTTGGAGAGTGATGTTTGAATTTTTTTTGTTTACTGTGGATAAAGGGAATTGCTTATTTTCTTTTGTCTTCATTTGATGAGTTATTGGACGCGATTTTATCGACTTATCTGTCAACTTATGCAGCTGAAGCACAATACTCTATAACCAATATCATGGCAAAAGTTTAACCAATTCACGTTGATAAATACTATTTTCACTCACTCTATTAAACTCTACACCTCCTCTATCTTCTCCACTCGTTATTTCCTATTCTATGAAATCGGCGATATGTCGTGTACAATGTTAGAGATATTTACCATTGGAAAAATAAGGATATACATAATGCATAGGCTATTGTTACAAAATACGTACAGTATGAAAATCAATTGTTTCTCATTTTAAGGGATACAACACTTCTATTAACGAATAAAATTAAGGTAATCATATAAAACTGAATGTGTAACCTACTTTCAGACGAGCAATAGAACTCTGGTGCAGAATGTATCAGTGACAAGCAGATCCCCCTCTCAGGATTACTATATGGTTAGTCCCTCAAAACCTCTCTCCGCATTGTTTGACCGTTTTAAATAATATCGTTTCATCCGTTTGATTTTCTATTTGTTCTGTACATTTAATCTATTTTTGCCTCAATTAATTTATTATTGAGTTGAGTTCGCCAGGTTTTTCTATAACTCAGTTATGTTAATCAGTGCTAATTTCTCGAATTTTGTGTCGGTAAATCAACTTTTACTTTTTCCTGAATTTTATCAATTATTATTACATATTTTCAATTTTTAATGAGATTATTCAATCAACGTTCGCTGTCAGATCGCCGGTTTCGGGATGTTATTGTTGAATCACACAGCTATTTGATGAATTTTATGAGTAATAATTTATTTGCGTTCTGTTAACGATCGGATGTAGAATCGGAATCCATCTCTTCATAATTATTTTCCAAATTCCGACGGAGTACGTTGATATTTAAATTATATTTCGTTGAATTTTCATTCTTTTGTCAATCAAGTATATCACTTGGCTGCAAAATTTTGTGCTTCATCGGCAATTAACTGTATTTATCAGTTTCTTTATTTTTGTGTCGATAGTTATCAATTCGAAAATGATTTATAAATTTTATATATTTTAAATTCAGCGATGCCGCATGAACATAAAAGCGCATGCGGGGACTTATTTTCACATAAAGTCCCACGTGCCGCACAAAGTACGCCTCATTACGTATATTCCTGTGTTTCGCTGGTATCAGTAATAATACCAACTAATGATACATTTTTATTTAAAAACTATATGTTTGCTTTCTAATGTAAAAACACTCTTAAGTTTATGGGTTTTTATGCCTTTAGCATTACTTATCCCGTGTATATCGTTAACGCAAAATTTGATGTTGCTGTGATATTAATAATTAATTATAAGAAAATCAGTGAACTGTACGATATTTATTTATAGACATTGGATGTACGTATGTATGAGCACGCGTGAAAATATGTGAATTTTTAAGAAGAGAGAAATTTTTTTTATATTCTCTTGACGTTTGCTTCGCGTGCATTCATACGTACATATGTGTGTAAGTGTGCGTGTGCCGTAATACTGTGTGCTATTTGCAAGGAAGCAAGTTATATTAACAAATTGCGTGATATCGTTTAAGATCGAGATCTCAATGCTGGCCAACCCGTGTTTCAAATAATTTTTTATTCACCATTGCTCATTTTTATGGACTTATTTAACCTTTTTTTCATGGCAAAAACTTGACACGTAAGTCGAACCAAAATTCTCAAGCCTAATCTGTACTAAAATGAAATCTTCAGATAGCGAAAGAGATTTTCCAAATGAATAAAAGAAAGGTTACATGTTCTGTAGGAGTGAGATCCTTGGATTACCTTTACCAAAATTTCAAATATATTTTCCTGAAGTCAAACAAGTTTGTTCTGGAATATCTGTTCAAGAGAGCTTATTTTCATCGTCAGAAGTTACTAGTGACCGAAAATTCATACTCGATACGATTCATTTCATAAGAGCGATCTGTTATGGAGAGGGTATCCAAGGTCTCACAAATGGCATGAATAAATATCGGATTATTCAATTTCTCAAATTCAATCAGAACATCTATCGATTTCAAGTCTTTCGAGTTTGGCATTGCTTTACTGAATTACAAAAGCCACCAGGAATCCTCCAAGCAACTAAACCTATTGGCAAGATGCAAATATCTGGAAAATGCATTGAGAAAGAGATAATGAGTTCAATAATCAGCAATAATTCGGCGTGGAGTTTCCAATGAGAGCCAAAAAAAAACCGTATTGAAGGAATCTACGGGAAAATCTATAAAGAGATTAGGGTGAAAGGATGAAAAAAGAACTGATGGTTATAATTTATGATTTGTTAGCCAGCGGAACCCATTCGGGAGACCGAGGTATAACACGGTGTCAGTTTTACCCACCGCTGCCACACTATTCCTGTCGGAGTACAAACAAGTACGTAGCCCACGTAGAACGCATATCCTAATGACTTGTATGAGACTTGCGCGTTCGAATGGTCGTCGGCATACGTACCGGGTGAAAAAATTGCCTGGATGAAGAGTTGCAAAAGGATAATATAATCATAGGAAGCAAAGAGTAGATCTAGGGGAGACGAGAGAAGACTGAGGATTTGCTCAATAATTGGGAGAATTGTAACACCTTGTACGTATGTCGGTCGAGCACGATTGGCATTTGAAATTTTTATGGCATTTTGCTCGATGGTGACCGTGCGTCGTTTAACCGACGATTGTAATACTGGTGACATGATTTTTATCGTGATACAAACAGAGAATCATATATGAACTTACAATGATGGTGATGATTTGTTGCACCGATGTGTTATATTTTATTTGTGTGTAGCGGGAGTGGGACTATCGGTAGATATTCAAGAAACAAGAAATACAAAATTGCAATTGGTGTTCTAACAACTATTATAAAATGGCGAGCCACGATAGTCTATCGCCCACACCCACGCTTTAAGTAGTTCATAGCTGTCTGATGAGTGTGCTGCGTGTTCATATTCCATTATGCCATATACACCCACCTGTGTTTCCAGACTGAAAACATTTATAAGGGAAATATGGAAGCATAATTGCAGTCATTACATAATTTTTTTTTCAATTAGACATACAAAAATTTATACATCAAAGAGATGCTAATTTACAGATGAACACCCTAACATCTTTGGTAAATATTAATGACATGGTATATCTTCAATCAGATCCGTACACAAACTCAACCCAAACTTTCTCAAAAACTATTCTCTTCTCCTCCTCCCATCTCTCTTCCGATTTCTCTCTAACTTCTGTCCCTCTACAACTTCCGAATTTAATCTAAACTCGAGTTCAACTAAAAACATGAAAAAAAAAAAATGGCTTTCATCCTTCAAATTCGTGTGTTATATTTTGCTTGAATTTTCTGATTTTTTTTTTCGTGCTGTGTCTAACCGTGTTAGAGTTTTGGTTTGATTTGTTTAATACTCTGATTTTCGCGAGTGTCATAGTCCAGTGAAAATATATTACCAACATAATCGTGCGTGAGTTTAAAAAAAATGTATTTTTAGTTCTGAATGTTTGACAAACGAAAATGGGAAAAGTCAGATGTATTCTCACAGGGTAGGTAAAAGCAAATTGTCAAGCGCAGTACCCAGACATACCGACCCCTTGAATTACTTCCACCTTTGTCCGTTACACCATATAGTCTACAATTGTCACGGATCAGATGTACATGCAAATTGAGTCAAAATCAAATATAAAAAAATAGTGAATCAATGAATTGCAGTGTCTGCCATTACATAGCGGAAAGTAACTGCATATGTATGTATGGTTCAAGGCTTGTGTATTATATTTTATTGTTGATAGTTCTAGATTAGGGGTCGTATTTGTGCTTATTGCGTGTTTTAGGCTTAAATCAAAAGCTCTTCATCCTTGAATGAGAGAAAGAACTAAGCTCAAAGTTGAGTGATTGTCACACACACACTCCCAAAGTTCCTTGGCTGAGGCTTTCGCGTAGACATTGTCTGTTTTATTATTTGTTTAAGCACGTGACGTGAAAGTGATGTTAAATACCTTGCCTCTGTCTTTATATCACTGTTGTCAACTATACGTCTGTCTGTCACATTCAAGCAACGTGTAGATCATGTGCAGTTGCTCACTGATTAACTGCGAAGTTCATATCTTTGTGGTTGGATGTATTGCCCCTGGCTGCAGTGTCTTTTTTTTCGTTCAAACAAGGGCAAAAATATTAATTTATTCTGCACACTATTCCGCTCTTACGTATCTTGCCTTTGAGCGCAAGTATTTCTTTTACTATTATTCATTACTATATTCACAGTGCCGTCTTCCTCTCTGTCTCTGTCTGACTATATATCTGTTGATTCTACATTTTATTACTCGTAGAATATCTTTATTGAAGAACGTTCCGCAGTGCAGAAGGACTGACGCGGACCATTCTCTCCCTGGTAAAATAACATTGCGTATCCCATATATTATTCACCGATGAGATATCAAGTCAGTTTGCGACCAGAGAGGAAGGAATTCATCTTCTTTCTCGGAATTATTTCCAATAGGGAATGAATAATAAGTCTGGTTGTTAGAAGAATTACTTCCCAGACAAGCAATGATGACACAGATTAACAATTAATGCGCAGATATTAATTGTTTACATTACAACAGCGCCAATTTCATACACCGGATTGCCCCATGAATTATACGAAACAGACATAATAAACTAACGATTGACATTTTCATGAGAGCGAGAGGAATTCAAATCCGAAAACACATATCCTCTCAACACGTATATTTACCCCCCACCTCGTGTTGTATAAAAGTCAATTAATGAAAAATGAAGAACCGTGCGTGTGTGCCACAGTGACAATCGTGGTTGTAGCTTGCGAATGATCCTGCTTTACGAAGTAACGCGGTTCATTATCCCTAGAGTAAACACAAATTACCAAATCCCTATTGACCCCTCACATTACCTTAGAAAAACTTTCCACACGTGTACGTGAATGAAAAGGGAGAGATTATCCTCAAAAGCAAATCCTCCAACTGAGGAAAGAGCAAACACATTTTTTTTTCAAATTATCTTTTAATCAATCACTTTTGAATCGGAAAAAAAAACGTAAAATTAGAAAAAATATATAAAAAGAAGAGCAGCGCTTGTGTGTTATTCGCTGGCCTCTGCCTCCTCGCCTCCTTATAGAAAGCCCTTCCCTATTTTTGCAGCTTCGAGTAATCAGAGCATTCAAGTCGACTCTGGAAGATTTGGAGGAGCGTCGTTCTGTTCATAGTTTACACAGCTTACACAGTATGCGAAGTTCACGCAGCCACACTGGGCCCCGGCCACTATCAGATTTCACATACATTGACGAAGACTCATCAAATCTTATGAACAAATTGAGACAGCAGAACACCGAACAGGATCACGACTCAAGCTCTAGAGGCTCACGTATACCATCAATCAACAGTCCAGCATCGCCTCTTCTACTGAATGTACCTGGCTCGGGATCCTCGTACAGCAATAATCATCGTCACTCCAACAACAATCGCACCTCCAATAATACTAACGAACATCAACCCCTGAGTCCTAATCATACGACGAGTAGAGGCATTGACAATGGGACAGAAAATTCCCCATCTATGGGTTCAAATGAGCCAATATTACCCCTAGAATTACCTAAACTCGTTCACGAGACCAGCATCTAATGTGGCTACTTCATTATTTGTCTCAGCATGTTCCATCATTCAATCATCATCATCATCATCTTTCTTTCATTTCCAGTAGCTTGACCCTTTTCATAGCTTAACAGATGCAGAATTCTTCTTGGTATTCATTTCGTTGTCAACAACTCTTCGTTACTGTCTAGAATTTCCGTTTTTCTCATCTGCGCCATTCTCGTTTGGCAGTGCTTTGTGGGTAGGGCAGGCGTCTTCGTGTTTATCCCATCTGCGGATACGTTCTCTCTAATCTGTACTTACATCGCTAGGACGAAGAACATTATCACACGCACAGTATCATCCTCCGAAGTGTTGTGACTTTTTGGTTTTATTCGTTCATCATTTTGACTAATGCTAACAAATGCAAACTTGATTTGCACTGTATGTGTAATATACTTATAACTTTTCACTATAACGCAATACTTGGGACCAGCAAAATCTTCTCCGTGAAAGTACTTAATTCGATTTCATGTAATGTGGACCCTGATTCAACGGAATACTTCTTTTTTATAACAAGAAGAATGCCATTAATAACGGCTCACAATTTATTATCAGATACTCTTCACTAACCAACAACGATCAACATTCAATAATAAAACCGAACAAATTACATTCAGAAACAGTCAATATTCTTATCGTCTATCTTTCTTAACTTTGCATAATACTCGAGACTGCTTGCTCTTTCACCTGTCAACCGTTAATTTATGTGTTTGTCTAATCTTGCGTATCACTGTCTGCATGGCCTGTTCGCCTGTGTGCCTGACAAAATCTCATTGTTCTGACCTTTCATCTGATTGGTAATAATGCGAAAAGAAGTCCAACAACTCAAATCATAAACGTAGGCGTAACATTCATTCATCCTTCCTTCATTATGGGAATATTCGCAATCAAGTCGCATTTGAGTCTGGTATTTTCACCATTCCCGCAACGAAACTTTGCCGTGTGTAAAGACCTTTTTAGATAATTACACAATACCGCAATCATCACAGACACTTTTGCTACCACTAAAATCTCAATTCAATTCCACATAGTGCGGTGGCATGCTCTCAGTTTAAACCCATTATGTATATTCAGATTATCAGTGTTAATTTGTGGTCTGTGCATACAGACACTCAACTCATCGAATGCACTTTGCATTGCTGTGCCACATAATCATAAGTGGCCATAATTTCTCTTTTTCTGAAAATTAACGTGAATGATGAACAAGTTTCATCAAATATACTTACCGTCTTTATTCACGTGAAGTTCATATGATAAAATTCGCAGTGAGGCGCTTTGGAAATTCATCTGCCTAACAATACTCACTTCTTGTTTCTTTTCTTTTGAATTTCGTTTTAATTGCTACTATTTAATTGTTATTTAACATTTGGCCCATGTGAGTGATTAATACGCGGCTGGTAATTACGGGGCTCAGGGAAGAGTAAATGGTGAAAAGTATGGAGATAACGTTTTTTCAGTGAAAACTTTGTTTCTCCATTCCCTTATTGATTGCTTCATCATTATCTATTAATTATTTAATATTAGTTCTATTATCGGTTTGTTTATTTTTTATTTTATACACTTTATTATCAAAGCACATTATCTTACAATCTGAGATTAAGTTATGTAACGATCTAAATAACGATGTAATTCTTATGCGTGTTAATTCAAAATTGCATTTTCCACAATTTTGAATATAAGTTGAAACATGAAAATGTTGATGGTTTATGTTTCAATATCATTTTGTCTGATTAAGCAGTTCCTTCTTACAAAACAGTCTTATTATTTTTGGGAAAATCATTCAATTATCCGAGGACAATGGAGTTATTATCAATGTTCATTAACACTGACACGTACACGGACACACATGCGTCTCGATTAGCGCAACAATTTTAAACTATTATCATTATTATTATTAATAAGCATAGCCGTTGATACGCGTTTCCATTTCCAGGCCTAAAAAAGTAAATAAATTTAGTAATTTGCCGATTGGGCTTATTCAACTTTGAATGAAGACGCCTACATGCCAAGTTGGAAAGGTTCCATTTGGAATACAAGCCAAAAGACAAAAGAATTTCGTGTATTTGCAGGGGAATTTGTAGCATATAGTCAAGGTCTTTTTCACTAAAAATAAGTAACCTGCAGTGATGGAGAACTGAGAAGGAAGTGGGAACGCGTTGAAGTGGTCTGCCAAAATATACTATGAAGTAATGAACATGAAGAGAATTTATTAAAATTTGAACGAATACGAACGAATCTCGTCCTCCATTGAAACTCATTCCCTGGATGCTGTGCTAAGCATTATTTTAAAATGCAAAAGAAAAAAAATGTACTTATTGCTTTTGTGAAATTGCTAATTGGTTGTTTTGTGTTTATGGCGGCACACTCGGCGACTTAGGAGAGTCTGACAAAGAATTTTTATTTTATTTGTTTGACATAAATAAATAAATAAATTCAAGGATGATTCAACGTTGGGGACGAGAAGCTATTTTTGTTGAGGCAAAAGAAAAAAATTATGGGTGCATTTTAATATAAGTAGACGACAGCTGTATTGTCGGGGATTTTCATTAAAAATATAAAAAACAATTCGCCAATCAACTTTTTTTCATTGGCAATTGATGAAACGCCTTAATTTGTCGACGATTTTATTAATCAATTGCTTATACTATGTATAGTGTATGAAAGATGAATCGATCGTTTTAACTAAGCGTTATTAATCCTAATATTTACTACTGCCATTGTTACGTTAATGTCCGAGGATAAAAGATGAAAGAAAATCACTGATTATACGAAAAAGAAAATGAGAAATTGAGAGGAAATATATCATATATATATATATATATATGCATATTTTAAATAGACAACACGGAGGAATTTTCATTGGAATTTCCACGTGCCAACGCGATGAGAAAAATTGATTTATGACAGTTCAATATTGATCATTTTTCGAGTGATCGTATAGTCAAAATACTTTCCGTGAAATTATGAAATTCAATGATTCCGGGGTTTACAATCAAAACAGAAGAATACGACGAATTATTTCTATTCATAACTATAAAAATGTATAAAAAGTGAAAAAAAAATTAATTCTTGCATTACTCTTTTAAAACACAAAACAAATGTAGACATCCATGTATATACTTGACATAAGTTTTATCCTTAATCTTGTTTTATTAATTTTTTGTCCTTTATTTTGTTTTTTAACTGCATAATTAAAATGAAAATTCATTACTAGAATTTGGTCCATAATGTTTTTATCAACAAATATGTCATGAGAGCGGCACAAAGTTATGACGAACCGGAGGCATTCCAAATGATGAAAAATTATTAATTATTTGACTGGTTGTAACATCAATAAAAAACACAAAAAACAACGCAATTTGAAAGATTGGAGAATTTTTCATTCAACTAAATACTGAATATAAAAACAGAGGGGGCAAAATTAAATTGCAATAGCGATATATTCACAAGTTGTTAACTCAAACAATTAACAAAGTCATTTGCGCTTCTAAGGGAAAGAGGTATATCCGGAATTAACGTCTAACGTTAATCATGCGATGAAATGCTCTGGTGGGTTTTCACAGTGCACTGTAGACAGCTAACGAAGCTTTTGCAAACTCAATTACCGTGTGTCATTCCTCGGTTTTGAACTCTCTACTTTGACAACAAAAGAAAAAGTTAAAATTAAAGTACCGAGAACTAGAACAAAGTGAAATTCTTTCATTCGGAGTAGCGTATGACGAACGCAACTAGCACATTGAAATGTTCATTTACAAAAGTCAGATAAATAAAAATACAAAATTACTATTCAAGAAATAGTGTTCGTCTTTCTTTTGCCACTGCAGATTTCATCATTGATCGATTTCAAGCCGTATACAATGTAACACATACACGAGAACAAATGGAACACATCTAGCTGTAATATAACGAGGGAGTCGTTAGGTTGTTACAGAACTAGTGAATACTTAGTCCACTCTATCGATCGTATCTATTAATTAAACATTAAGACGTTATTGTGATGTTATAATGCGAGGAACGTGGAGAAATGGAAGGCATATGAGAGAAACACTGGAGGAGAAATAAACGGAATCAATGATTATGTATATATGCGATTAAAGCCGAAATGTTTCGAAGATTACTGAACTAATTTTGAGACTGGGCTGGGCCCATACCTGGTCGACTCGAACTTCATCCCTTGTTTCTTCTGGGCAGGAATAATTATAAAAATACAATGTAACAAGAAGAACAAAAGTTTTATGTACGTTGCTTTGGTACTCAGGAGGCCGATTGACAAAGTGACGTTCTGGTAAAGTACGAAAATAATAATATGAATCATTAATAATTATCATACTATCATTCCGTTGCATTGGAATAACAAAATACATAATTCTCATCTATAATCGTGCATTAATATGAACGTTATTTCGCGTCGATGGCACGAATTCTGCTTGATTATTTTCATCAATTCCAAACTCCCTAACATAACACTAAAATTCATGAAATACCCAAAAAATCGGGGACTGCTTTCACACAAAAGAATAATGATAATGAAAAAATTCAGATGACGTTTCTCTCAACCCTCGCAAACAAATGCTCAACAATATGCCGGGTAAAGAGTAATCGAGGGGGAGAGGGAGAGAGACAGAGTAATGTTACAAATATACGGTCTCGGACTGGACCTTGAAGACCCATTGATCCCCGTAGCCTGGTTTATTATTACTGTCGCATCGGCTATTTATGAAAAAAGCGCGTCTTACAGCCTGAATGCCACTGTAGGTTGTTCCTCCCAACTTTTAATTTATTATTATTTAATTCTATTCTTTTTCATGAGAATTTTGTTTCCTTTTTCACACTTCTCCACTCAAAGATAATTCTCTAATGTTAGTGGCCTTCTCTTGTTCCCATTGTCAAATCCAGAATCCACAACACCTCATCAGTGATACCCAACTACTCTCGCCTCAAAAACGTTTGAACACTCTAACAGATTTAACTCATTTAATTGTCCTGGTTTTACCACATCTGATTGCTACTGAGATTGATTAATCGTAACTAACGAACAATTGTGAGATCGAAGTTTTGTTAATGAATTATTGTCATACAACTATAATAGTTGCCTGCTCGCTCGCTCGCTCGCCTCTTATATTCTTACGTGGACACTCCCTTCTCTTTACACTTCACTCGACTCTATTAACGTTCTATTATTCACCCTGTAAAACTTTTATACTACTACTTATACTTGTAAACTTTTTTTAAAACTGAATCTAGCGCTATATTACGTTGTACTGTTGTCCTTTACATACAATATAATCCCATGAGGCTGTTTCTCGTGGTAACATGCATGATACTGTTGGCCACATCTCCATTCTCATGGGAATGTATACCGACAGTGTCGGCTGGCAAGATGATACAGCTTTGTGTGGTCCAAATTACTCTAGTTCAGGTCATTTATCCTTGGTAAGCACGAGGAGTCCCTGGGTCGTCTGATCGATGGACACTGGGCATTCTATTAGTAAAAAAACTTGTCTCCTAATCATTTAAATTGCTTCTCATCCAATCATTCACTTGCCTGCATCGTTTCTATCACTAACCCGATAAAAAGCAGTTCTTTGTGTCGTAATTTTCATTCTCTACTTTACTAAAAATAACGGCCAATGCGAAGTACATGTCCATCTATCTGACGAGACAATCGATAGTACCTTTTTCCGATAAAAAGAAAATCTATACTTGACTGAAACCAAATATTGGGGTAGAACTTGAGAAGACAAATATAAGAGTAAAGCATAGATAATATTAACTTTCCTCAGTGCATATACAGTAACCCTATATATAGTAAATACGTATAATATACTACATGAAAGATAAAAGCTCTTATCTTCTTTTTTAAACAATAAATATAGGATGTGCTCTTGCTCTTTCTCTTTTTTTAAAGAACAATTCTATCACGTTTTTTGCTCATGCCACCCTGTTGTAACCATTATATTACCCTTTACTCTTGAAGGTGATAGGTGGCGAGTTGCAGGAACGTTTGATACCGGTACCCTACAGCAAGAGCTCGACAGACCAAGCTGTAAGCGCTCCTCTCTTGCTCACTTCTTCTCTTCTTTCTTGTATACGACTTGTATTCTCAAAATGTTTATGCTCTTGACTGTTAATTCTTGCTTCAATTTTTCTTTTTTCAAAAAAAAAACATCTATTTTTCATGAGCATAGCGGTTGAAACCCGGTTTTATGTTCCAAGCAGCTGTTGAAGATGTTTTTATGGTTTCATTTTACCAGAAGTGCGCAACTGATTATCCCTTTTGTTTTCAATCTTGCAACTCTTCAGTTTTTCTCTATTCCAACTTCATATCAATTCCATTCCTTCTTCACTTGTCACATTGCTTAATTTAAGTTTTCTCTGTGCTCTATGTCTATCATTGTTGTTATACTATTCTCTCACTTTTCTTCGCCTTTTCTGCTTCTGTGTGTAGAGGAAAAATATCACTTCCAGACGCTTCCCCATTAAATCTTTCGTTAGCAATTTTTATTCAATTGAACTGCGGTTTTTCAGTGCTTTCTGGCATAAAATCACTGGAATGTAGATTCACGTGGTTTTGACAGAGATATGACACGTCGACAGCTTGATCATTAATAAGTCAATCCATCGACGTGTTAATTTACGTGATACACCAGCTATTCGTCACTCATCGGCCGCCATTTCAATAGCAGATTCAGCGCTGTAGTTTAATATTTTGAGAACGCTTCGATATGTTCATATGAAAGATGACTCATTCAATCTTCCTGTGCACCCAGAAATTCGCTGTGAAACGAATGATTTCATGATATCCTGAAAGCTTCCAGATAATCAACACCCAATCATCCATGATCATTCGTAACCACCCGATTTGATCAACTTTAGTGCCTGCTGCTTTGCATCAATGTACATAGCCATTAGTTACGAAAACAATTGAGATTCTCTGATGATCACGATTGCATTCTCGTGCTCATTACATTGGGATACTAAAACGAACATGACAACACAAGTCGAGAATGTTTATTTTTCGTTGATGATGAATAATAGTCCCAAATGAAAAGCAGTCCTCGCACCGTTCGACAATTCTCATAATATTTCTAATCCTTATGTTTTATTGGAAACAAAGAAAAAATATTACAATTGCGAATGTTGGCCATCAAGAAGACAAGCATTAAATGAGCCAGACGGCAAAATGGTTTTTGGCAACAATTTTCCGCGCCGCCTTGTCGAGTGTTATCACACCTACTGCCAGCAGATTATTTACGAAAAAAAAAAAAGTATAAAAAGTGATTTCAATGCTCTTCGTGCATGGTACACAATTCTCTCGCTGTATATCCTGCCAGCTACGCCAAAAGTACACCTATCCACCTGCCTAAAAAAAACATCGAAAAGTTAATGTCCTATCCCTTTTTTCGGGATGCCTTGGCAACGGCACACATGACAAGACGCGTAAGTATATGCAGTATCAAAAGAACAGGCATTTTGTCGTATTATCGTTGGTGGCTGGGTGATCGCGGTGGTAGTCTCTTTATGTTTGTTTATTTTGTTGTTTCTATATTCGACATCCCACGTGTCCTGTACCATGTCTGTGATACGTGCATTTTCATTTTTCGTGAATTGTCTCTCTAATTATCTTACATGTACTCTGTATTATTGCCATACTGTGCAGCTGACGATCATGATAAGGCGGTGATGGATATGACGGATGGTAGAAGGATCGCGAACGTAGATGTTGATACATTATTGTCCTATGATTAACTCGGATGATGCATGCACAAATAGTTTAGTTATTGTGTGTATGGGCGAGTAAAGTATCTCATAAAAGGTTTGTGAATTATAAAAAAATGCCACTGAATATTCATGGCGACATTTTTTAAGGAATAAATTACTCGCCCATTGTATATCAAATTTTTATGCTTTACTCCAGAATATTGCTTGTCACTTAGAGTATGCAATCTGCCTGCTGAAAAACAAGCTTGATTTTTTTTACAGCTGATGACTGTGCTCGAGAGTGATGCGGTGATTATCTACATTAGCATTGAATTTCAGCAACAAACAACTCGATGCTTTATTACCACAAATTTCTGTATTCACGCTTACTGGCACGAACGAGCCATTTCCCAAGTCCCAAATCTGCTGTCACGCAGTCGTTGTGTTCATAATCGTATCAAGTCAACGATGGAAATAAAAATAAATCACTAGTGGAGTGGTAGAACATAACAAACCGATTTTCCATATTGTATTATATATGTAAATATCGGGACGAAGTGTGATTCCAGAAAAAAAACTTCAGGGATTGTCTTTGTAAATAAGTCTTTGGAGAAAGAGTCCTTTGACATTTTTTCCACTGGTTTCGGGAAGGAATGTGCAATTAAAGAAGATGTGGAATAAACAACCTTGCATTAAGAATGCTATACTTGATTCAAGAATCCGGTAATTAATTTGAATTTTTGTGCTTTGTTTTTTTAGAATCAAGATTCTCAATTCAACAATTCCAGCTCTTGACTAAAAAGAAGCTATTCTTTCACCAAAAATCCAAAATTCTCAATTTTTGGATTTCGAAATTACTTCATCGGAAATTTTTGATACAAAAATATTATTAAATTGTCGATTAAACAATTTTCTTTTCAGTGGTTGATGAACGAATCAATTTTATGGAGATACTTTTGTACAACAGTATATTTCAGGACGAGTGCCCTGGGATGTTTTACTCGTGTAGTTAACCACGCAAGTAAAAAAAAACCATGACACTAGGCGTGGACGATATTTTCCGTAGTGATTTTCACTTTTACGAGTTTGGGGAAGGGCCAATGCCAATTCCTGGGCAAGGAATAGTGAAGAGCAGTACGGAACAGGATATTTTATTTTTGGGTTTGAATTATTTACGCTGAAATTGACAACTTCCATATTCTTCACTGACAAAAATATTATTGTCTCGATTTAAAAAAATCACATTTAGTTTGTTACATTTTACCACTCGACTTTTGAAATTAAATAAGAATAAACACGACAAATGAAGGAAAAATGAACCTAAGTGATTCATGCAGGCGGGGGAGGTACAAATTCCTCATCAGCTTTCCAGTTTACTCCCGGAGTATCCCGAGATTTTCAGCTTTTCATCCATAA